AATAAAACAACAGATTTGTTTTTATCTTATATTAAATATATGTTGGAAACAAATGTTGATCTTTTAGTTTGACGATCATACATTGCTTTCGAATCTATAGTGGCATCACAACCTAAAAACACCACTTGTTATACAGGGTGTTTCACATTCGTGGTCCATTGGAAGTTTCTGGACAACGGAAAAATATAGATTTGAAATTTAAAAGCGTTTATAATCCATTAAGTCTACTTTTTTAAATATTTTGAACAAAATGCAACTTCCGGGTTGACCGGAAGTGACATCAACTTTGTTAATTCAAATAGAACACCCCATATATTTTTACATTTTGAAATTCTACATAAAATTCTATATACCATGTCCTATACCCAAAGTGAATAGTTTTTTTGATGTTTGCTATTAGGTTTACGGATATGGGGGTAAAATGTTTGGAATCTTAAAACATTTTTAAAAAAATTCCATGTCAATTCTTTTTTCAACAAATTACCCGAGAAAACCCAGGGCAAATTGGGCTAACTTGAAACGTTAATATCTTTTTATTTTATATGTAACACCCGGTATGTTAAGAAATTGACATGGAATCTTTTAAACAATGTTCTAAGATTCCAAAAATTTCACCCCCATTTCTGCAAACCTAAGGGCAAGAAAGTTATAGGCTATTTTTGATTGACGCGCATTTGTCATATTTTAACGGAAAAAATTAATATCTCCAAAACTATTTACTCTAGTTATAGGACATTGTACAGTAATTTTAGTCAAAATTTTAAGTAGAATTCAAAAATGTAAAAATATATGGGGTGTTCCATTTAAAATAACAAAGTTGATGTCACTTCTGGTCAAGGCGGAAGTGGCATATTTTAGAAAAATAGGTTTAAATGGATTATAAACGCTATTAAAATTTCAAATCGAAATCTTTTGCCGTTCCTCAGAAACTCTCAATGGACCACGAACGTGAAACACCCGTATTTCGTAAATGTGCAACACCCTGTATATAATTAAAATAATTTTAAAATAAATAAATAATCTTAATCAGTGAATACATTTTCCATAAAAATATACTGTCTAGCTGTTATCGAATCTGTTATATTATGTGCCAAATACCGTGAATAACATGTTATTGGATCTCACTTAAAAAAAATGACGTGATCTGAAAAAACGCCGAGACACGGGTATCATTTTTTTAAGTCTATTTTCAAAATCTATAGAAATTTTTCATGGTACTGTGTTATATTTCCAACTCGAGAAATGTCCCAAATTGTACGAAAAGAAAATCAGAACAAACAAAATGGGCCAACGTTCAATTTGATAAATAAAAAATTATTTTGTAGCCAAAAATTAGCATATTCGATTCGCATTACTTTCATCCCGGAACGGCTAATATATACGGGACTATTTAAATTTGGGGCAGTCTCATTTGCGAAACTCAATTTCTAAAACTTCCCATTGTAAACTTTGGCGCAAATTGAATTGTTCATCCCTACACATAAACAAAGAATTTCGTCTTTGAAGACGTTCGTTTTCATCTCTTTGAAATTATACAAATTGCAGCTGAAGTATAATCAAAAAATAATTTGCTCGTCAAAACACTGTGTAGATACCAACTACTAATTCACTTCACCGAAATCTTTTTTCCAGTAGCCGATATTATTGGTCGATAATTGAGATTGGCTCCAGTCACGTATGTCAAAGATCATTTTTACTTACTTTAGCTGCAACGTCTGGTGGGACTCTGATCGACTTAGAAACGTGCTGCACATATTTATAATACCGATTTTGTGTTACATGAAATGTTCTAGTTGAAAATGTTTCCAGTTTGAAATATAGTATCCATTATCGCTTTTCAAATTCAAGTCTTCAGGTTTCATCTTTAATTGAAGTCACATTACATAATTACATTAAACACTTTTAGGAGCAAAAGCAAAAGCCACAATAAAAGACCATGTGAAAATGCAACGCGGCCTTTTAGCGTTCAAATCTCCCTTCTAACTTGAAATTATTATTAGCTCCGAATTATTATTAACTCCACTTCACATACTTCTTTATGACGTCTCACCTACTCAACATCACTACTTCATTTTGGACATTAAATGTATTCGAAAGTAGCGACATAAATCAGTCGATATGAGCATAATTTGATATTTATTTGAAAATGCAAGGAGGCAAAATAAGTACATTTTACAATTCGTTGAATGTGTGATCGAGTACGGGAGCTCTGGAAACGATGGAAAGTTTATTTTATGCGCGATTTGCTATGGCAGACGAATATAGAACCGAACTTGGATTTTTTAGCTTCTTCTTCTTAGCGAGCGCGACATGAGATGCAAAAACTTTATTGCCACTTTAAAAATAAGGTTGCCGTGTTAAAACAAAAGGGGGTTGTCAAGAAGTGGCGGGTTTATTGAACGAGCAACTCACTCAAAAATGAAGGTGCAAAGAAATATACTTGCAGCTTATTTGGACAACGTATCTCTGGATTAACCAAGCTCTCATTTAAAACATTTATAATTTCATTACAACATTTATATCAATGGATTATTCACAGGACAAAGTTTAAAAACCCCTTGTCAAATTAAGAGCTAGGTATCCTTACCACTAGACCATACGGGATATACTCTACACTAAACAAAATTAAGTTTTGCGAAAACGAATCAACTTAAAACATGATAAGAAAGTCAACATTATTATCAAGTTCATAGCCACTTGGCAATCGTTGTAAAATTTTAGTGTTTGAAATTGACGAGATGTTTGGTTAATTTTACGATGTAGAGCAGTTAAGTTATTGGACTGTTACACTTTCGATTTGATGGCCAAATATTGGAGGAACATTTTAATGAGATCGTGTCGAACAGCCATTGTACTCCAATCTCATCTGGTGTCAAACGTTTTGCTTAAATTTAACGACAACGGAGCAGTTTTGCAAGGCCATTCTAATTACAAAATACTAATAAATATATTATACCAGATATATCATAATATTAATCATACAATAATAATTTATCAATGTAGGCAACCCAGATTACACGTGGATGTAATACTGGTTGCGTTTTTACGTATTTTGCAATTATACCACAAGAACCGTGCATTATTCCTAGTTTCTTTTACGAAATTCAGTAGATACCTACGTATTTTTTAATTTTTTAGATTTTTCAGTTTAATTTTAAATTAGTTTCAGCGAATTTTTTTTAGGGAAGCATTCCTAAAAATTACAGGTCTCCAAAAGTATAATATTTACTAACCATCTACTACATAATCACTATATTACGATTTTATTTTGGTCTGTGATGTCTGCTAGCCCTATCCTCTGGCAATTCATGCTATAGATATGAAGCTCACGGTTCTTTAAAGTAAATTTCCTACAGGGTGATATGTAAAACCCGTTTGTAAAAAAAATATTTTTTTTTTGTTTTTACTTTGAAATATTGAAGTATTATGTCTTACCTTGAAAATGTTTTCAAATTTAAGTATTTTTAAGAACAGGGAGATAAGATGGTGAACAATTGTTCCTTGAATAGTTCTGAACAAGCGACAAGCAACAAACTTCCATTATTTTCAGAGGGGCCTAAGCAAAGACCACTTTTTCAAAATGACATTTTGGTGAAATTTTGCGAAAACCAATCCTGAACCGATATTTACGTTCGTGACATCTTTTCTTTATAATTTTGACCTCCTGATTGTGATTCAGTTGTCAAATTTAAGTTTCAGATAAAACCAAAATCGCTAAGAATCAAAATTCGAAAGCCTACAAAAAAGCCTTAAATGTACTCTTTTGTAAAAAAATCATATTTTCGTTGCTAAGATCGAAAAATTTGAAAAACGTTTCAAGGTAAGACATAATACTTCATTATTTCAAAGTAAAAACGTGAACAAAATTATTTTTTTTAAAAACGGGACTTGGATGAAGTTATTGAAATATTTAACCGTTTAAGATATCACCCTGTAGGAAATTTTCTTGAAGAACCTTGAGCTTCATATCTATATCATGAATTGCCAGAGGACGGGGCTAAGTGACATCACAGACCAAAATAAAATCGTTCAAGAAACAAAAAAGTTATGTCGTTTTGAAAAAGAACGAACTTTTTGGTCGCGACAAATTGAGTGGTGCGCAGTTTAGTTGGCACAATGGTTATTCAGCCAGTTCACTTGAGTACAGATTTAATGCGAAAAGAACATATTTATTTTTCACCCTCAATATCGTTTGTCAGGGTGGAAGAATCTCTATCCCGGAAAGCGGCCAAATAACTCAGTATTTGTTAAAATTCTCAATAGATGGCGCATTGACGTGGAACCTGTTTTAATCCCGGTGCACAACAAACTTTTCCCATTTTTAGTAAAATTGCATAGATTAACTTCAAAGAATAGACCACTTAGCTTAATTAAAATTCAAATAAAACCATTTTAACGTCACTTTTGTGGCGAATGTGCATTTTGGCAGAACAGTTGGCAATACTAAAGTATTGCCAATCGTTCTGCAAATTATTATAATAATGCTGTAACAAAAGATGTAATTTTTGTTAAGGAGGGTAGAAGACTCTCCTTGAGTTTTCGTTATCTTATAATTTGTTGTTAAAAGGTAAAACCTTAGGTTCCTAGTTGACTCGCCATCTAACGAACAACCAACGAAATACTGATTCTGTACTGTAGAGATAGGAGCTATATCACCTTCTTCTTCCACCCTGGTACCACCTTAAAAATATTACATACCGTACCTTCATTTGCAAGCTATACATAGGGAAAATACAGTGTAGGTGGACCAGACAAGTCGAAGTCAGCGCAAAGCGAAAAAGTTCTCAGAAATTATTAGGAGGTAATAAAATTTCAATCGCCAGTAAACAAGGTCACCTGTTACGTCGCATGTTAGTCTACTCATCCACTATGTACAATGTACAATGTATTTTCCCTATGTATAGCTTGCAAATGAAGGTACGGTATATTACTCGTAGATTGGGGGATATGAAAGCAAAGAAAGTAAACTTGGTAACTTGTTGTCGTTGCGTGTGTTTCAGATCCGAACATTCCGGAGCAAAGCTACAACTCGTCGAACGGCGACGAGGACTGCTGCTACACGCATTGCGGTTCGTCGGGCAGGGGGGCCACCGCAGCAACGATAAAAGCGTCGGCGACGTTGCCGAGAGACTCCACCAGGACAGCGTCGCAGATCCTCGGCCTGTGCGAGCACTGTCCCGGCCGACCCGGCGGCGGCGGGAAGAAAGAAGGAGGCGACTTGGCGTCGTCCGCGACCAGGACGCGACCGCCACGGACCGTTATCAAAGTGTTTCTGCTATGGACCGCGTGGACCTTGAGCCAAAACACGCCACTGACTGTTTTTAACATTTTCAAATGTTTGTTAGTTCTGTGCGCGATTAATGTCAGGACCACAGTCGCGATATTGTGGACAAAGACCATTTGGATACGGTCGTGCTCGTAGAAATAGGCGATATGTGTTCTTACCAAAGCCTCGATACGGTCTGTCTGCTGTAACGCATGTTGCTCAACAACCCAACTCTCATTCACATCGCCTATAATAATAATAATATTTATATTATTATCGGTATCGATATTATTAACCCGCACCCAACTATCTATATTATACAAATTAAGGTACAAGTTTCAATTCAGTGTATATACCCAATCTTACTTTACCTATACATCCACAATCCACACAATCCATAAAAACACTGCCACTTACGTAGATCGAGTCATCGATGAAACGGAATAACACTTGCGGCCCCAACGCGCCACCCTGAGGCACACCCCGTTCAAAATAATTAAAACGAACGTGTACATAACTATTATACAACAATCTCTATCATATCCGGGCATGTTTTATCATACACACAAGCGTAAGTGGCCACACTGATTTTTTAAGTACGAATTGTTATTCTATGGATGAATATACGAAAACTAAAAGAGCAATAATTGTATTAATTTTAAAGGCGATTCAAATTTTATATTCTTACAAAATTGTCGTAAAAAGGTTAAAGTAATTTACTCGAGGAAAGTGATCAAACATTATAAGGTAATTAGGGAATTATATTATAATATTATACTTAAAGTAGTCCAGTCCAATGGGTTTAAATTTTTTCATACATTTTTCTATTAAACTCTTTGACTAATTTCGTTTAAATATTCTTGAGTTTTAGGGCACACTAAGCTTTCTATAGAAAATGATCTCTATGGAAATCAATAGACCCACCTCTGATTGGTTTATTGCTTTCTGTGTAGATCATTTTCCATACAAAGTGAAGTCGCAAATTTCTTCTTCCTCTTAAGAATCTCAACTAAAGTTGGATATAACTGGCTTAAGAATGTTAACTTAAGACAGGTATAACTGTTTTGAGAATGGCAAACCAAGAAGGTGTTTCTTGAAATTTTCGGCTTTGCTTTCTACAGAAAATGATCTCTATGGGAAGCAATAGACCAATCAGGGCAAGGCATTCTTCGCTGCACCTAGTGTGGTGTGAAAAACGGCGTGCTCTGATTGGTTTACCGCTTTCTGTGGAGATAATTTTCCATACAAAGTAAAGTCGCAAATTTCTTCTTCCTGTGAAGAATCTCAACTTAAGTTGGATACAACTGTCTTAAGAATGTTAACTTAAGACAGGTATAACTATTTTAAGAATGGCAAACCAAGAGGGTGTTTCTTGAAATTTTCGAAAATGATCTCTATGGGAAGCAGTAGACCAATCAGAGCACGGCATTCTCCGCTGCACCTAGTGCGGTGTGGAACGGCGTGCTCTGATTGGTTTAATGCTTTCTATGGAGATCATTTTGTGTAGAATGTAAAGTCGCAAATTTCAAGAGTACTGGACTACTTTAAAGCTTCTTTTTCATTGATGATTTAAGTAATAACAGCTTCGATGTTTGAAAGTATCATCTGCAAATTAATTCGTTATTACTTCTCATCAATACCACTAGACTTAACTAATAAAATATCTGTATATAAATTAATGAACATAGCTATACATTCTTAGGCTTAAAGCTTCGAAAAAAAATTACTAAAGATAATAATTAATATTAGGTCGAATAGCTCAGTGATTTGTTTTATGGGGAGCAAATCCTTTTACATTTACCACTGTTGAATATAAAATAAAATTTTTAGTAAAATATAAGTGTATATACACTATTTTTAAACTTATCCCAGAAATGTGTATAATATGATAGCTGATTTACAACAACAACAAAATTATAATTATCATAATAAATGTGTTCAAGCCGGAGATCCCGAATAAATGTAAAATATCTTAAAATATTTTTGAATAATTTTATCCACGCACTGCCATTAAAAAGGGCCCTGTAGTGGACCCCTGTGGAATACCTACAAAGTTATTAAATTAGGGAAGGTGGATAAAATCATTCAGAAGCGCAAAAGCCAAATGTTATTAAAAGATACGCACAATGAAATCTGATTTAATAATCTGTACATTTTTTACATTTTCACTGTTCTTTATTTCCAATTTGTTATTAAATGTATAATAAAAAGATATGTGATGTGTACAGATCATAAGATATTTAATACAAGGAATTATATGGCAAACAATTGATAAGGATGTTTTGGGTATGAAATTTTTTGAAAGAAAATCCACACCAAGATTTCCATATGGTACACAATGCTAAAAATATTTAAGGGTAGGTATATTTTTAAACGATAAACACGTCATCTTTTAAAATAATTGAAATTCATCAAAAATGTCTCAATTAAAGCAATAAACCAATCAGAGAACGGCATTTTCCGCTGCACCTAGTGTGGTGTGGAGAACGGCGTGCTCTGATTGGTTTATTGATTTCTATGGAGATCATTTTCTATACAAAGTGAAGTCGCAAATTTCTTTTTTCTCTCAAGAATCTCAACTTAAGTTAGATATAACTGTCTTAAGAATGTTGACTTAAGACAGGTATAACTGTTTTAAGAATTGTTGGCGCCCGAGCAGGGACCAATCTTAAAATTAATCCCGGCACATTCGCCATTTTTGATAAAGACTTTTTAATTTTTACAACTCCAAATAGCTTTTAATGACTTATCAATAATCCCAAATCTCAAACTTTGCCTAGTACAACTAAAATTTGCGACTTTTCTCTCTATAAAAAATGATCTCTGTAAATAGCAATTAACCAATCAGAGCTCAGCATTCTCTATCGCACAGAGTGTGCCGTGCTTTGATTGGTTTATTGCTTTCTATAGAAATAATTTTCTATACAAATTTCAAAAAATAAAATCTTTTTATATTTTTAGTGGTGTGTGCTAAATTTCGGACAAAAGTAGTGGTTTTCTGGTTCACATGCTAAAGACAGATCGTTCAGAGTATTTTGGGAATTTTTTAGAAGACTTTATGCACATAGTTTTTTAATTAGGACTGCTATTTGGGATGCGAAGTCAGAAAAATACCGTTTTTAATAAAAGTCAATTAACTAACCGGACAATGCGCGACAAATTTAATTTTTTGTATTTAAAAAATTGATTGGACAAAATTCGAGGTATTTCCTGACTCCCATCTATTTTTACATGGCTGTTGCAAAGTATATCTATAAAGTGAAAACTATATTATATTGTTAATGTTGAGAAGTATATTTAAAACCGATTTTTTGATAAATATGTTGCAATATATGATTCTTATGAGGGAAATATAACATTCGACAAGTCTGTACCAAAAAAGCTTTCATGTAATTTAAATGGCGCGAAAATGCACGCCGCATATTCGTCACGAAAACTCATTCATTTGATGTAAACAAGATGCCGCGCGAAAAACTACCTCTACTCAACGAAATACGTAAATGAATATCTTGAAGTACACGGCGACATTTTAAAAACATGGGGGCAGGTTTTCTCGAGGCATCGAGCCACGGTGTTCTTTTTATTTATCATCCGTCCATAAGCAAAGAATAGGAAATTTTCGGCGTGCATTTTGGCGTGGATAACCTCCAATATACTTGCCAATCAGCCAAAGAGCAGTCATCTAGATGCGAAGAACTATTTTCATTCTTTCGTTTGATACCGTTTTCAAAACGATTAGTTTTAACCACATTTGGCAAAATTAGTCGTCGATGCAGAGTGAAATATAAGAAAAAAAGTTGTTAATTGTGAGATACAGTAGTTATTGGAATGTAGAAGTTTTACGAGAACTGAAATGTAGAAAAAAATAACTAGAACACCATCTTTTAGTTCTGTGCGAGAATATATCCAACTGCCAGCAATTTTCACACTAAACAGCGACGTTGCCGATGCCCTCAAGGAAATCCGGCAACGTGTCAACCCGTCACCCAATTCCAACCTATTACCGATTGTCTCTCCACTGTGAAAAACTGTGCTTAGTGATAACAAGTTTTTTGAAAATTCAACGACAAAACGGCAAATTCTTCATATCAACCACAATATGACTCTTGTATGTGTCGACAGATTTTAACTACTCATATTAATCACCTTAAGTACATACACTACAACAGCCTTTTGAAACCAAAAACTACATTTTTTGACTACAAAGTTGGTTTCTTAAATTTGCACCAACTTACCTTATCTCGAACCCAACTTACCGTTATCTCAAGCTAACTTACCGTTATCTTAAACCAACTTACCGTTATCTTAAACCAACTTACCGTTATCTTAATATACTTTTTCTTGAAAAAAGTGTAGTTGCTGCTTTTGTACCCGGTTATCAGCGTTTGTTTCAAAAGGCCTTTGTCGTGAATACTACAAATACAAAGCCAGTAGTTGTGCAATAAAGTTTTTAAAATTAATATTAAATTAAGACTTGCCATATGAGTCGCATGTTTATATAATAATTTAAATCAGGGTAAATTTTAAATTTTTCGTCTATTAAATGAATAATGTGAAAAAAAAGTTTTTAAAAAATTGCCGTTGTTAAAAAATTCCAAAAAATAGCTAGCTAACTTTGAATGTACAACTATTTGGTGACAAAAATGCTTACCTAGATGCCGTATTCTAATTTTAACAAATAGTCATTATTCAATTACTTTTATATTTAAAAACAGACACTATAGCAAAAAGATTGTTCAGAAAAAAGTCCACATTGTACTATTACGAAATATGTGAAAAATGTTTGTGTGCGTATGTTTTAGTACAGAAATCAAAATACATATAACTAATGGTACTTTATTGGGAACGATTCTAACCATCGTCAAATCAGCGCTATTTCAACCCCACCTTTTATTTACGTCATTTTACCCAACTTACCGTTATCTTAAGGTCACTTACCCTCTCTCGAATTAACTTACCGTTATCTTAAACCAACTTACCGTTATCTCAAATTGACTTACCGCTATCTTAAAGTAGCTTACCGTTATCTTAAAGTCCCTTACCGTTATCTTAAAACGATTTTTCTGTAGAATTTTCTTTAACTTATCTTGAAACTTCTTGGTTAGATTTTGGTGTTGTTTGGGGTTGAGATGGTTGTTTTGGCGGTGGTAAAGTAGATACGGATAGATTCGTCCGAAAAAAATAAAAATGAAAGAATGTTGCTAGTGACAAAAATTATAACTAGCTGTGTTCGTTAGAAGTCTCTGCAAAATGAAAGTGTAACTCGAAGATATGCTTGAATCGCGCTGTCGTTTTTTTTTGTTTTGGATTTTTTAAATTTTGAAAAAGTGTGCAGTTTGGGCAGCATTTAAAATACTCTTTTAAAATGAGCGTTCGTGTTGAAATGAGCGCGTGTTTTAAAATTAAACTAAGAGAAAGGTAAATAATTAAAGTTATTTAATCCAATTAAAAATGGATGTTAAAATATAGTTGATAAAATAAGGTGATAGGCAGAAAATAGTACAAGTAAATGTTGTAAAACTTTAGAGATAAGTGTTGAATTTTTCCCTTTTCCAGTGCACTGTTTAATAAAACATTTTTTCAATTTTATACTTTGTATACTAGAATTTAATCGGCTGCTCGGCATCATAACATTAAAATTAAAAAAATTGATTACAAAGCATGCTTTTTGAACGCATGGCTACGCCTTAGAATTGCAATATACAATAAATGTATAAAAATTTTGATATTTTCCTTTTAGAAAAAGTTCAAGCATATCTTTGCGGTTCCGGTCAAAAACGTTTCCATCAAAAATAAAAATAAAACTTGTATTTAAATGTACCTAGGTAGAACCATCATTAGGGAGTGTTAAACTTGTTGGTTTAGTAATAAATAATTATTTTTGTTGTGAGTAGACTTTAATTTATAATAATATATTTATTTCCACAAATAAGTTGATTGAAAGCGTCCCAACTAACATCTGACCCACGTTAACTCTATACGCTACTATTATGTTGCTATTTTATACTCTCTATTATTATTACCTCTTCCGTTTTGAGCATAGCTATCGATATGTTTTGTTATATGTGGCTCAATAAATGTAAATGCCTTCAACAATGCAAACTGGACTCTTCTTAATTACTAATTATATAATGTTGACAAGTTTTTTTTCAATTGACTGCGCCATTGTTTGTAGGCGTTATAAAATAAAACTGAAAGGAACTAATGCAATAATAAATGAATTTACGAATTAAAAATATAATAAAGCCTAAATCTACTTTGCATTGTTGTAATTGTTGTTAATGTTAAAATATATACTTATTGTTGCTAGTGGCTAGAGTTGTTGTTGTTATATTCGAGGATAGTGATATATTTTATTTTATTTATAGAGGAGTGATTTTTAACAAATATACATTAAAGGCGCATTATAATACTTAAAATGTAGATTTCAACTGAATGCGTCACAACTTTTGACAAATTAGTATTCATAGGTACTAAAATATTCACCAGTTCTATATTTCTTTGTTGTAACACAGTAGGTTTGTGTAATTTTGTTTTAAGTCAAAACATTTGGTCGTATGCACATGGATAAAATATTGTTTATTGAAAATTTTCTGGCGCCCGAGCAGGGACCAATGTTAAAATTAATCCTGGCGCATCCGCCATTTTTTCAAAAGCAGATATCAATTTTAAAATTAATATTTTTATAATAATCCCATATATGTACGTCAATTTTGTCACCAGGTTGATATGGGTAGCATGAACATACATCTTGATAACATTCAACTGCCAAGACGGCGACCGAGCAGATATTAAAATAAATAAAAAATTTGACATTATTGGTGCAAAAATTTATTCTCCAACGCCAGTGACTAAACACTGAAAATCGGTTGTCATGACACTGCATCGTTAAATATGGGTGTGCATAGGGCCAATAAGTATGTAAAATAATTTGTATAGGACTATTATATATTGAGTACCTCGTTTTTATACAGTATACCTAATCCAAGACTATTTTGTTAGAATATACATTACTCTATAGTATAACCCACATATGAGCGACTGATTGAATTTTGTAATAATAAAATTGTTGTTAGTGTATATATTTACTAGATAAGTAGGTAGCATGTAAGATTTTATGAAAATATTGAGGTTTTTTCATTGATTTAATTGTAAATATCTGTACTCAGATTTCGGGACCTTCCCGCGAATCTAATTGCGGAATAACTCTCGAAATCACTTCACTGTTTTAACACCAACTATTTAAATAAAACTATATCTATCTATATGCGGGTCAGATGTTTTTTGAGTCACGCGCAGACCGTTGGAAGAATTAAAAAGTGTTTAAATTATTGTTAATTTGTAAGCTCATTCATGTAAATATTTTAAACAACCATGGATCCTTCCATCGCCAATTTTTGTGGAAACGTTGTATGTATAGAGATTAAGTTAAACAAATTGCAGGAATTTAAATATAAACTTAATCTGTAAGTCACAAAATATTGATTGAAAGTTTTTTTATTAGTGAAAAGTATTATAATATTGAAAAACGATGAAATAAAAAATTTAAACTAGTACTGTTTAATGTTGACTTGACAATAAAGATCATTTCGGGACTCCTTTGTTTCATAATAACGATTACGATCTCAAAAGGATTTTTTGAAAAATAAGGTAAGTAGACATTTTTCAGGATTAAGAAACGTTTTTTTTTTCATATTTGTTCGTATAGTACAAAAAATTAAAAGTAAATAAATTTTGTCACCAGGTTGATACGGGTAGTATGAACATACATCTTGATAACATTTCTTAATTCAACCGAAACACTCTCAATCTTTAAATTATAAGTAGAACCTTGGATTTTTCATTATCTTCTCATAACTTATGTTTCATAATAACAATTACGATCTAAAAACGATTTTTTTTGAAAAATATGGTAAGTAAGAAATTTTTCATAGTTAACAACCGATTTTTTTTTTTTCGCAAGACCGTAGACAGATTTCATATTTGTACGTTTTGTTAAAAGAAATAAATGTATGGATAGTATGAACACACATCTTGGTAACATTCCTTAAATCATCTCATCGTTACCATAATGTTCTTCTTCCTAATGGATCTACTTTTTCCCATTGATCTAAATATTTCCTAGATAAGATTGATGATGACCATACTATGCTATAGTTAGTAACTTTGTACATTATTTTTCTCTGAGTAACTTGGCAACGTTAAAACATACGAAACCTGATTATAAATTCCTTGACAGCTCATGTAATGATGAAGTTAATATTTATATTTCTATTATTTAATTATTCCTCCGAATCTTTGGATTACGACATGTACTGTAAAGATCTTGCATGCGAAAAAGAACAACATACAGTTTGTTTGAGAAAAGGTGATAAATGTGAACCAGTGCATGTTTGCGAAGATCAGCCAATGACTCGTGAACTCCGTCAAGCAGCAGTTGACCAACATAACGAATATAGAAATAAATTTGCCAGCGGAAAAGAAGCCGACCAGGCCCAAGCGGCTTCAAATCTGATGGTTATAAATTACGACATCGAATTAGAATACGTTATGAGGTATATTAAGTGCATAGTTATTAATTTTTTTGCTATAGATACGAAGTAATAATGTTGGGCATAATATAGGGCATTATTTGTAGGTGCCATATACATACATGTACCATAGACCACGACAAATGTCGAAAAACTAAAAAATTTGCAACTGTGGGACAAAACATGTATGCTGGGAATGGGAGAATAAGTGCAAAGCTAATTAAAAAAGCAATGGCAAGCTGGTACTCAGAGATAAAAGATATGGAGCCTGATATATACACTAAATATGATGACCCTGCCTCGGGTAAATATTTATTTTTTGATTCTTAGTAAAGTTCGTTTTTTTATCTGCACTGCGGCAACGTTGCAAATTTAGGGGTTTGGTTGGTAAATACGGAACCAAAATTGGTTGCATTGATTAAAACAAACTAAACTAGTTATAAATGTAATTGTGGTTATGTTTAAATTAAATTAACTCAATGACAAAGTAAATTTTGTTTCTTCAAGTTGGTACACATCGCTATTTATTCATTTTTTGCTGAAGACCTTTACCCTTACCCCTTACAAGTAAATGAAAATTTTGTATTGTAATGAACAACGATTTTTTTTCAGGGAAAGCCATTGGACATTTCACTCAATTAGTATGGGCAAAATCGGAGTTTATTGGGTGCGCTGCTTCGACAGATGGGAAAAAATTGTATTTTGGTTGTAACTATGGGCCTGCGGGCAACGTAAAAGGAGCTGGTATATTAAAGTGGGGGACACCATGTACTGAGTGCGAAAATAGTCTGAAATGCAACCAGAAGTACGAATCCCTTTGCGGTGTCCTCCTCCCAATACCAGATTCATCCCCCATGCCTTTTAAAAATAAGTTTTATTTTTGTTTTATTTTTGTCGTAATTAATTTATTCATTTAGGTATGTTTTATAAAATAAGCAATAAATAATAATAGCTGTTATGAAAAATAAACAATAATATAATTAAATTTGTTACTTAGGTACTTAATATTATCCAAGAATGATTTTTTAAAGTAATTGTACAAAGCGACATCTATACCTACAAAAATAAAGTAATTTTCACCATTAACATTGCCCGTTATTTTAATTTAACTTCCTTTGATTTTTTATTACTATAACTGCAAAATACTATTATAATATAATATTGTATACAAAGTATTTAAAATGTTTACAGGGAAAATGTTAAAGGTACAAAAAGTGACAGTAAAATTTCTTGAAAATCTGCGTTAAATGGGGTAGTTAAATTTTTTCTGACCTATACTTTTTATGGTTTTATTCAAGGCGTTTTGTAATTTTAAACATTTTTGTGAAATCGGAATTTTAATTGAGTTTACCGTTTTCGAGATATTTACAAAAAAAATCTCCTAATTACGTCACTAGGCTATTGACAACGTTGCCAGCTTTTTCTATGGTTGCCAGAGTGTTTAGTTTAAGATTCTTACGATAGATGGCGCCACGTTATAATATTTTAGTTTTAAAACCACTTGATCTATAATTTTAGTTGAGAAGAAGAAGAATTGATTTTTTGACGTTTTCTTTTTTTCGGGTTATGTTTTTTTTAATTTAGATTATTGAAAATCAATGTTATTGTTATGTTATTTGTAATTGATATTAGATAAGTGATTTATTAATAACGGACTCCAAAGCAGAGGAATCTTGTGGAATGGTTGGTTACATTGAACATTGGAGCTTTTAAACAAATAAAGTAAGTACCTATAATTATAATCATATTTTGTCGTAAATGCATTTCATTAGTATAATGCCTAGTTCTTTATATTCTTTTAGATATATCTTGGACTCTAAAATATCAAACAGTAATATGATACCTCAACTGACAGTGACAGTATTTGTACATAACCTCTTCGGGTATTTTCTGACATAACCGAATGAAATCATTAACAAGACAACTTGACAACAGGCCCTGTTGAACAGGGTATAATTTTCAACCAATAGAAATCTTAGAATGTTGGTCACATGGCGAGGTTTGTGACGTCATAAAAATTTATATTTTTTGTAAATATCTCGAAAACGGTAAACTCAATTGAAATTCTGATTTCACAGAAATGTTTAATATTACAAAACGCCTTGAATAAAACCTTAAAAAGTATAGGTCAGAAAAAATGTAACTACCCACAGACCTAGGTCTGTGTAACTACCCCATTCTTAAATTGCAATGATATTTGGCTATACCCAAAGATGTATTATCTTTGGCTATACCTACTTACTTGGTAACTTGGTAACAGTAAAAAAATTGCATTTCTTGACAGATCAAGTCATAATGAATAAGTTAATATTAATAATTATATTTTTTAATTATTCTGCCACATCCCTCGATTACAAAATGTATTGCGACGAACTTTTTTGCAAAGACAAAAAATCCAACCACACCGTTTGTTTGAGAAAAGACGTTCAATGTCGGCCGATAGAAAATTGCAAAACTCTGCCGATGACCCGTGAGCTACGACAAGTAGTGGTTGACCAACATAACGAAATGAGAAACAGATTTGCCAGCGGAAAGGACGTTTATCACAACCAACCCAACGCAGCTTCAAATTTGATGGTCATAAATTATGATTTGGAACTGGAAGAAGTTGTAAAGTATACCTATACATTTAGGAAGTGGAGCTCCATCTCCTTTCCATCTCATTTTGTATCTGCAACCTAATTTAATAGGTTGGGTGCCTAACCTAACCTCACTTCTACTGTCAGCGACATATATCAAATTGAGGTTAGGTATCTGTCACTTTCAGTAGATAATTAACCTTTCAAATTGACCATGGTTACAGATACAAAATGGGGGTAGGTACAGTTATTTTTTTATCTGGACTCGTTTTTTTATTAAGTTGGTAGCTTTAGTATTTAAAAAATGGGACTCTGACACTGTCAAATTGACAGTTATATTTATTATTGATAATTTACTTGTTAATTATTATATAATATCGACATAAAAAGATAACTATGCCAAACATAATATCAGATTCCAAATTAAAATTTTGAAATTTTAAAAAATAAGGGGGAAGTAATGATTTGACAACATTCACGAGTGTTCACATAAAATTTTAATTTCTTTTATATAAATTCTTTTCAAAGCGAAGATTATTATCCGCTAGGAATACTGCCTCTTCTGTGCCGTAGTCACCTATATTTAACTACTTTTTTACCAAAGCAAAATTAATTGCTTTTTTAAAGAATTTTGACAACTCAACTTGATAACCGTTCAATGTAACCTACAATAATTTAAACATAACCACAATTACATTTATAACTTTATAAAAAACTTTATAATAGTATATTATGTATCAAGTTTTATAAACGCCATTTTAGTTAAGAGTTTAATTAAGCACGAGCGAAGCTTGCGAGCGAGTGTTTAATAAAAACGAGTGTCTAGAGAAGTTTATAAACGAGTTGCATACTATACTTTATCTACGACGAACACAAAACAGAATTTAAAGCCAATTTTATTTGTTAAAAACATCTGTCAACTGTCACCCGAATTTAACCTCACTTTTTCCCAATTTATAATAAAGCTAACTTCAGCCCGTGACGTAAAATGTCGAAAAGCCACTGTTGTTAACTTCAGCCCGTCAATAAAACGCCATAAAGTTACAGCTCGTCAATGTAGGAGTAGATAAAAGTTTTTATTTGTATTAATACAAACATAATTATGACTTACCATAACCTTACCTTTTACAATAATTAATCCAAATATTGTTTTAGGTGTCATTTGAATACGTGTACCTTTGATCATGACGTATGTAGAAAAACTAAAAAATTTTCAACTGTTGGTCAAAACACATTTAAAGGAAATGGTCTCTTCAATCCATACAAAATTAATAAAGCAATGATGGCCTGGTACTCAGAGATCAAAAATGTAGAACCTGAAAGATACATTAAATATACATTGGCTAAACCGAGTAAATATACATATAATATACGTTGCAATACGCTAAAGAAGTATCGCTAGTAGCGCCTGTTATCATCGTAACAAAAGTATAACTTTTAATAATCAGCTGTCAAACGCTTATGTTACAAACAAGTGTTTTTGCGAATAAAGCCATAGAATGTTAAAAAAAAAAAAACGTGGCTCGATTTGTTGTGTTGTTGGGTGTATTTCGAGAGGAAATCCTGGGTTGAGTTTTTACCGGTTTTCCAATAAACAGTGTTAATCTAAATGAAGAAATAAATTGCATACAGTCTCTGTAAATATAAATTGTACCTATTAGATACAATAAATACACATTTTAGTAGTGATTAACGTGAAAAGTGTAAACACTTCAATTCAGTAAAAATCGTCAAACAAATAAGTCTTCTAAATTTAAACAGCATTTAGCATTATTAAAAGCGTTGATTAAGAAAGTCTCCACTCAACGGTAAAATACCATTATATTACCTATGTAAATATGATATATAATATTATGTTGCCATGAATTCGTCGGCGTTTATTTAGAGAACTCAAATATAAAAATGGATGATTTTAAGGTTATGTTTGTGCAAAATTATTTTTTACTAATTTCTTAAAAATGTCCAAACTTAAATATAAATTATTTTAGGTAAAGTTATCATTAGTTAATTCTGCACCAACAAATGCACTTACCGAATTGGATCCTTTGGCAAAACATGAAAATGCAACGATTTAGTTCTTGAATTTTATTTACAATTAAAAACGCAATAATTCAAATAAAATACACACACTAACGTACATAACTATATAAGCATTTAAGCGTTGAGTTTCTTAATCAATGATATAAGGAATGATGTATAATCTGTGCTTTAAATGTATTGTTGACAATTCTTAAATTCACGCATTGCAGTCCACCAGATAGCGCGCGCGTCGCGAAAACCCGATACTTCTTTAGCGTATATGTCAAAAATAATGGGTGACAGATGTCAAAAATGACAGTTGACAGGGTTGCAACCCTTTAAACAAAATAAAATAGTGACAGATAACAGCTGTCAGATTATTTTGTTTCATTTTTGACATCTGGATCAAAAAATGTAATGAATAATATTTTTGCAGATGCACCCGAAACTGGACATTTCACTCAGTTAGTATGGTCAAAATCGGAATTTATTGGTTGCACAGCTTCAACAGACGGAACAATATTATATTTTGGTTGCAACTACGGCCCTGCTGGCAACGTTGATGGAGTTCGCACTGTAAAGTGGGGGACACCATGCTCCGAGTGTCCCAATAAATTGAAATGCAACTCCAAGTATAAATCCCTTTGCGGGGATCTACTGGCCATACCGGACCCACCCGGGACAAAACCGGGCGCATCGTCCCTATCAACTTTTGCTCCCTCTTTGAAAAATTGCAAAAACAAAACATATTTTGCTTTAGTTTTATTACTTTATGCGATTATTGTATTTATCTAATTATTCTAAGTTCAAACTAATTGTATTATGTAAAATAATCAACAATAAATAATAATAGCTGTAAACAATAATTTATTAATAAACTTATTTTAATTTAATACTTTTTCTTTGCTTTTTAAATATCTTTTCAATTGCTCAAGTACTTACGTATCCAGAACCGTATTCACAACAAAAAGGGGTCCTAACTTAATTTCTTTATATTATATTATTGTTTTTTATTTTGTCACTCATTTACAATGTATGCAACCCATTTTGCACAAACATGTATAATAGTTGCCTATCAATTTCACAAAATTTTATCATTTTCCGGTTAACAACATAACCCCGAAATTTCGCATGAAATTAAATTTAATAATAAATATTAAACGATGTCAGACAGTGAAGATTACGAAAACAAACCCCAAGAAGAGTTCACAGCAGAAGAACTAATTTTACCACCTTGTAAATATGAATGTTAGTGATGGTTTTAATAAAATGTCGATAAAATTAAATAATAGTTGATATTTTTTAGATTTGGACCACACAGCTGATGTACAGTACGTATTTTAATATATTTATATTTAAATTCCATAGAAAATAATCTCTATAGAAAGTAATAAACCAATGAGAGCACAGCATTCTCCACAGCACACTAGGTGAGATAGAAATGCCCTGCTATGATTGGTTTATTGCTTTTCATAGATATCATCTTCTATAGAAAGTCAAGACGCGAAAATAACCTCAAATAATTTCAGAATACATGCGTGGGGTGACTCGTTGATCGAGGCTTTTGAGCAATGTGGTGTTGCTATGTACGGATACATGACAGAGATAGACAAAGTGGAAATTCTGCGTTCGACAGAGATAGAAGTCAAAGGTTCAGACCTAACAAACCTTTTATTCATGTTTTTGGACGAACTGTTGTATGTATTCAGTGCAGAGGAATTTTTGGTTTGCAAAAAGTTGGTCATAACGGAGTTTAATGTAAATCCGCCGGAAGGTGAGGATTTGAGCATCAAATGTAAGTGTTATGGGGAGGAGTTTACGTTGGGAAAACATCCGCAGGGAACTGAGGTTAAGGCTATCACTTATGCTTCCATGCAAATAATCAATGAACCCGAGAAAAATAAGTTTGAGGTGTTTGTTATTATTGATATTTAAATTTTATTATTGTTAACCCAGTTATTGTGTATGATAATATTTTATAGAAATATGTTTATTTATAAGGTCATAAATACTTCATTTCTAAACGATTTTATTTTTCCTATGAGAAAATCAAGTTATGTTAATACATAATTAGCGTTATTAAGTAGTCGCAGTTTTGAATAATAATAACCACACCTATTTATTATTAAAATAATTTGTATTAATCATAAGAAAATGTGGAAATTTCAAAACTTAAATTACGTTTCAAAATCTGCTTCTGCACAATTAAGTTTACCCTGTATGTCCAATTTTTATTGACACCATCTCAAAATAAACGTTTTAAATATTATAAATACAAATTGCCTGTTTTTCAACTTTTTGTGAAAATTAAGTTTAAAACGGTAATAATGTACCTACATTTTCTACTACAAAAATTGTCGGCTATTTATATTTTTAATTATTAAACTTATTATTACAAAAAAATGTTTACCAATTAATTTAAATATTTGTATAAAGCGACATCTAGTTATACAAACATAAAGAAACCAAATTGATGTAGTATCTGTTTTACCAATTTTATCTGTAAAAATCGAAATTTATTCCTTGAAAATTGACTGGCAGCCGTTTAAATCCGGTGTAGAAGCAGTTTTTCACAGTGAGGGAAGAGGATGTTTAATGGGCACTGTACGCAAAATTTTTAAAGCTTTATCTAAATCTAGTTAACTGCACTACTACGACGAAATTAATAATTATCACATTTAGTAAGGTAAAGTATTGGAGAATTAACATTAATACTGTAAAAACAAGAGCTGTGTACAATTATAACTATCTCAGTCGGTAATAATATAGAACTACTTTATTTTTGGTGCAATATAGGAGAAAAAAGTTCGCAAGTTACTTTGGTGGTAAGATTTTTGTTTTTTGTTAAGAGCAGGGCTGTGTTTAAATTACAATAAAAAATATTTCTAAAAGGTGTACAGATCAGTGTGTGGTATAAATGTGGTATAAATGGTTTAAACATGTCACTTTAATGCGTTTTAATTTTAATTCTGAAAACAAACAGTAAAATGGCCAGTGTCCAATTACTGGTTGGTAAAAAATGTAAATTTCTATTATTGGACATATGTCCAATATCATGCTCTATTTATATCCCGGACATTTACCAGCCAATTCTTATGTAAAATTGTCCCTTGAATCCGAAAAGACCGCCAAAAACTATAAAATTTAAGCAGTTTTTGAGATATAGTCAATTCCACATTATATGTAAAATTTATTATATTTCAAAAAATGTTCTACTTTTATAACTTTTGACGAAATTTTCGGATTCAGCGAATAATATTTCATAGGAATTGACTGCTAAATGTCCTGGATACAAATTGCTGTTAACGAGAATTATTAGTGGCTGCTTTTTCGCTATGACATTTTTGACTAATTCATTTTTAGAGAGTAAGAAATATAGTAATTTCTTCGTCACAGGACATCTTGCAGAATAACAGTGATTTAAATACAGTGCATGATAGAGAACATAAAAAACTAATGGCAACAAAATTAATAAATTCGGAAAATACTTTTAACATACCACCCGAAAAAATATTAGATATATAATTCATCCTGTTCATTATAAATGCTTCACAAACTAGAGATACCACACATATGTGTGATATTAATGATATTTTCAACAAATTATTTCAGAAGTCAGACCAAGGAATTAGTACTTACCTTGAGAATCCAGTAAAGGGAAAGAAATATATGAATTATATGATATTTACAAAAACGAAATAAAAAAAAATACCTAAACGAAAAAAATATTTAACAATTTATGTTATTTGATGTTAAGTTGTTATGTTTATAAAAAATTTTTATGTCCAATAACTATGGTGCATTTCTTTCAAATTTTAGGTTATGTTCTCAAATTGTAAATATCTTAATTAAGGAAAGTGCTTTATTTACACAAATTGAATGTTTAAAGTTTAACCTGTCAACTCGTCCTAATTTCATCTGAGTAAAGAAAAAGAAAAAATTAATTTTGTGGTTATGGAGTTTTTAAATTTTATAATCATTGCTTAAGCTAATAGCTGGATGAGTAAATAAATACAGAAAGGTACATTTTATTTATTTATTTATTGAATATAACAACCAAATTGTTGAAAGCGTATTTAATATTTTCGTCAAAAATTATATTAAACGTAGTTTCTGTTGCAAAACTCGCAAATTCTGCTACAGGCCTCTTTCAGTAAGTTCTCTGGAACTGTAAGGACAATCCTCATGAACCCTGGTATCTGAAAGCACTGAATAAAAGAAATTATTATTTTTTAATAGTTCTAAAAATGCTACACTTACATCACCAGGTAGTAGAAACACGGACTCTTCTTCCATTAACTTCTGGACAAAATCCAAACCATTGGTGAACTTCGGGAATCGATTCATCTGAACTTCAACGACCATATACATGGTTCCTTCTGGCATATAAGGCGACATCCCTTTGGCTTGCTTGAGTCCTTCGAAGGCGATCTCAGCGTGCTTTCTCAGCGTGTTAATTAAGTCGTCGTGGAAAGACTGCGGAGTGTTGCGCAGAATAGCCGGTAGAGCGCCTTGAATCAAAGTGTTGCTGCCTATGGTCCTTTGACTGAGGCTTACCAAGGCCTTGCGGATGTTCTGAAAGGCGTTGATTTCGTCGTGCACCACGATCCAACCTAGACGCCAACCTGGCACTAGGAATCTTTTAGCGAGACCACCGCATATCAGTATGGGCACTTGTGAGTGGAGTGAAGCTGTGGATGCGAATTTTTTGCCCGGAAAGACGAGTTGCTCGTAGATTTCGTCGGCTATCACCGGGATTCTTCGGCGGTAGGCGAGTTCTAGGATGTCGCTTAGGTGTTTCCTCGAGAAAACAGATCCGCACGGGTTGGAAGGGTTGTTTAGGACTATAGCGGCCGTGTATTGGTCTATCTGCGACTCCAAGTGGTACAAGTCGACCTCCCAGTCCTTCTCCGGCAGGAGGTTGTAGTACTTCACTGCAACACCGATGGACTCCGCCAAGGTTCTGTAAATCGGAAATCCGGGTCTCGGTATCAAGATGTTCTGCTTCTTGTTGGCGCACGCCAATGCCGTGATGCACAGCTCCAGAGAGGATGAGCAGCCGCTGCACAGTACGACATCCTTTTTGTCGACTTCAACGCCGTCATGCGACAAATACTCCGCCACGGCTCGACGCGAATCCTCGTAGCCCACGCTGGGCGCATACCCATTGCAGGAGCCTTCCTCTAGGATCTTTACGACGGCCTTGATGGTTTCATCTGCTTGAGGAAGGTTTCCGTAGACCGTTGGATCGCCTAGAAAAAAAAAACAAGTCTAAAATGTATACAGACTGTACAGAATCAAGTAAGTAAGGCTGGAGACAAGGATGACAAATTATATTCTGATCAGAGAAAAAGAAACAAACTTTAATTGGGCGTGGTTTAAACCAAGCCATTCGTAATTACGAACCATAGTTGCCAGGTTGTTTTAAATCAGAAGAGAACGATTATAATTATTTAATAAATAGTTCAATTTTATTTGTTTAAAACTTTAAAAATAACAAAAAAATTAATAATATGTCAAAAATAATTTGATTTAGTTAATTTTCTTACTTTTAATATTAAAAAAATAAGAAAAACAACCCTTTTAGGAAACAATAATAGCATATGGCATGCAGCCAGATACAAGGGCATGCAGTTTGATCTACTGTGTTTGTTGTTCAGTAGCTCCGACGCTGTCGTAGGGAAATGTGTATGGTTTTTAAGAAATACATTTTCGCCATTAACTGGAACTTAATGGATTTTAAACAATACTTAGTTTTTATTTGCAGAAACAAAACAAACGAATTCGATAAAAATAAAACCTATAAATTCTCAAACAAAAATAATTCTAAAATAACGAAAATAACTTTTTTCTAAACCCCTACCACAGTGGGCGGGGTTTGGCACTTATTTTATTTAAGTGTATCTATTTGTTTTAATACACACTGTATATATTTATACATACCTTAACATTACTTGATCAATTTAGTTCGAAGATTAATTTGCAAACAAAAAGACCTCCTTTCGTTAAGCAGTTATTCGTAATGGATTTTTTAACATTGGAAGAAAAAATAGAAATAATTTTGATTTATGGAGAAGCAGGCAGGAATCTTGATGACGCTGTTAATATCTACGCTCAGCGTTTTCCGGAAAAAATTCGATCACGTACTTCATTTCACCGTACAGTCAAGCAGTTTACTACAAACGGGAGTGTTCAACCGAAAAAAGAGTTCGTCGAGCAACAGTCACAGGTGGAAATAATGAAATTAATGTGTTAGCAGCAACGGCCGCTAATCCTCATGCAAGCACACGAGAATTATCTAGAGATTTTGGAATATCCCAGAGCAGTGTTAGCAGAATATTAAAACATAATAAATAAATAAATTTAAAAAATAAAACCAAGAATTTTATTAAAAAAATATTGGAGAATTGTAACTATACAGAATAAAAATCGAATAAAATTGATTAGGGTGTTTCATTGGTTACAAATAGGTATAATTTACAAAAGTATTAAAAATCTAATACTTTTTAGAGGCAACTTTGTTATTTCAAAAAGAACAACCTATATATATATATATATATATATATATATATATATGTACATATATATATGTACATTGTACATTTTTTTTTAAGTTATAGACTATTTTTGATTGATCCGCATTTCTGAAATTTTAACGAAAAAAGTTTAATAACTCGAAAACTAGTCACTTTGAGTATAGGACATGGTATAGTAATTTAAAAATATATGGGGTGATTTGTTTAAAATATAAAAGTTGGCATTTTGTTCAAAATATTTAAAAAAAAATAGACTTAAATGGATTATAAAGGCTTTTAAAATTTAAAATCGATATCTTTTCCGTACATATACAGTATTGGCCATAATTCTTAAAACCACTGTAAAAAAATGGTCCGTTTTTTCATTATTAAATAAAAGGGCTTTAAAAATAATTTCTCGAAAAACCTGTTGAAGTATTTTTATCCAAAATTTCATAAAGAATAATAAAGGCGTTTTAGAGTTAAATTTTTTTACAGTGGTTCCAAGAATTATGGCCAATACTGTATATGTATATTAATTAATTTCATTCACGTTATATAATTTTGCAAACAGGAATTTTATTATTTATTCATAATTTATCGAGTTTTGTTATTTTTTTAATGTTACCTATTTGCATAAAAATTGCCGATATATGATAATAAATTTTGCAATATTATAATAGTTGAATATTTTTCTTTTAAAATAAGAAAAAATAAAAAAACATATTTATAAAAAATAAATGCATAGCAATGAAATAATAATAAAAATATGGATAAAATACACCTAAACTAAGCTATTTTAGTAAATTTGTAAAAAAAAAAATAATTATACAAAAAAAGCCAAATCTAAAAATCCACTCTCTTAAAATTATTATTAATTAGTCAAAAATAATTAATTATAAGTAATAGTTGACTAATTGTCATAGTGAAAAAGCAGTCACTAATAATTAGTCAAATTCTACTAAATGAAATAGTCAAATTAGTAGATTTAAATTTAAAAAAAGTTTTGACCCAGTCGGGGATTGAACTCAGGTTTTTCACTTTTTAAGCTTGTCAATCTGTTGTCATAACCCATTCGGCTATTAGCCGCTCTCACAAACATTAATTTTATCTGGGTTATGGGCCATTTAGGTATGCATTTAATTCAAACAATAATTTGTTGTTGGCCGGAAACGATTAAAGAAATAAGTTACTTTTAACTCTCAGAAATAGTCAAAGATGCTGACTAATCTTAAACTAGTCAAACTTTAACTATTTACGTAGTAAAAAAATCTATGTAAAAGTTAAACCGAATATTTTATTAGTAAAAAATGCTGGTACTAATTCAAATAGTAGAATTTTGATTATTTCATTTTTAGATAGCAAAAAAATCTTACCTATGGATAGAGCAATAACAGGCTTCTCAGGATTCGGTTCGAGATCCAAATTGTCGACAATTTCCCGGATAAAATTTCGGCAGTTCTTGGCCGAATCGGAAGGCTGGACTTTCCAAGCCTCCTCTTCCCCTTTCCTCTCGGTACCGTTGGCAAATAAACTCAACTCTATATTCTTAATTTGATGCTCCAACATGCTCACACAAGACAATTTTGGCAAACTTTTTTCAGTTTTTTTTTTAACTCTTAACTCGCGATTTGTTCAATAAAGATTCTTTTAATATTATGTCCCTCGAACGGAGATACAACTATTTAAATTACACATTTTTTAATTTTATTCCGATTCGATAACTTGTTGCTTATGTTAATTATATGTGGCGAGATTTTGTTTGCGACACGTGAGGCTGAGGCGCATATTTCTTTGGAAAAGGTTTTATTGCAAGCGTGTTTTTGTTTTGAGTTAAAAACAAAATACACCGCTTTGTAAATTATACAGTCCGCGAGGAAATTGTTTCCTTGACAACTGATAACGCTTTATAACTCTAGGTATATAATTGTTTCTAAAATCCTTTTATATAACCTTCAGTAACCGGTACCAGTAGGTTTATAAAGGAATTTTATAAAAATTGTGAGTTATTATTTATTTATGTGCTTAATAAACCAAAAATGGCTTCACGTGATTTAAACAAGTTTATGAATAAGATAACAATAAGAGAGAGAGAAATATTAAAAGAAGGAAAAAAGCCGGTAGCAGTTCTTTAGGAGGTTATATAGTGGTTTCCATAATATTCCTGTTATCTCTGGTTATAAAACTTGGGTTTTATAGTGTTACTAAAACTCCCCTTTGTATTGTGTGTGTTTTGTTGTAAAATAAAATTGTAAATACCTAATGTTTTACAAAAAAAATTGTCTTCATCAATGATGAAAACATCGGGAAATAATCTTGCTATATATATTTGGACTTTCTAATTTTGTGTAAACAAATATTGTCATAATAATATACCGTCTAGGAAAACAAGTTTTCTGTATCAACAATTCTTGTCTTGAGGCGTCATCGCTAGGTGACGCATGTACATGTTATATTCCTCTCGCTTATGTTGAGGAAAAACTTTGATTAAAAGATAATATAGAATACTTTATTTTTGAGAAAATTTTATAACACATTATCGACGGGTTTTTTCCTGCTTTTGTGAGGACTTTTTTCGCCAGTATTTCTTTATTCTGAATTTCTATTATTGTATCTCTGGTAGAGATGTAAAAAAACGGTTTTTTTCAGATGTGAAAAACGGTTTTTTTGTTTTTTTTTTAAATGAAATTTTGAATGAATATATGTATTACATTTTTCATTATTGAAAATTTTGACCAAGACTAAAAAATTAAAGGATAACATTTTTTTTGCGATTTTTCGGATAGCTGTATCTTTGTTAAAAATGGTCGTATTGGAGCCGTAAGAAAAGCAATTTGAAGCTTGAAGTTTATAGTTTTGAGATTTTTAGATGAAAAACGTGCAACGCTCAATTCTAACGAATACCGTAATAAAAAAATCGATTTTTTTTGCTTTCTTTTTTGGTCCACGGAATGTTCTGACTTAACCACCAATGAATAAATGTTATACAAAAATTTGCTGTTTTTTGAAAAAAAAAAATTCATACTCTACATAAATTTGAAAAATCATAAAAAAGTGCTTTTGGTAGCTTTTTGAAAAATCAAGCGCTGAATTCAAAATATTATATGTCTAAGTTATATGTAGTTACTTTTTTTAGGACCAAATCAAAAGAAGCGCGGCCCTTATTGGTCAAATCGATGGTTAAGGCGCGTGCATAGCGCGAGACTGTATTCCATTTACTAATTGTCATTTAGTGGCTAATTTTAGTCCATGGAAACATAAAAAATTAGGCAAATGGGACTAAACCTAAAATGTGAAAAAAAAACCATTTGAAAATAAACAATGAAAAAAAAACTGAAAAAAAAACAAAAAAACGGACCGTTTTTTTTCAAAGAAAGAACTACAGTATTTTCTGAAAATTTAGAACTATATTTCGTTTAATTTTTTGTGGAAAAAAAATATCAAATATACGAAGGCGTAGAAGGGACAATTACACAAAATTTATTTTTAATATTTAATTCCGAGTTAGGTAACACAGAATTAATTCCCCCCATTTAATTCTGCGTTATGTAACACAGAATTAATTCCTTCCTATTTAATTTCGTGTTAGCTAACACAGAATTAATTCCTTCCTATTTAATTCCGTGTTAGCTAACACAGAATTAATTCCTTCCATTTAATTCTGCGTTAGGTAACACAGAATTAATTCCCTCCCCTTTAATTCCGTGTTAACTAACACAGAATTAATTCCCTCCCCTTTAATTCCGCGATAACTAACACAGAATTAATTCCCTCCTATTTAATTCCGTGTTAGGTAACACAGAATTAATTCCCCCCCATTTAATTCCGTTTTAAGTAACACAAAATTAATTGAATTAATTCTGTGTTAGTTAACGCGGAATTAAAGGGGAGGGAATTAATTCTGTGTTAGTTATCGCGGAATTAAAGGGGAGGGAATTAATTCTGTGTTACCTAACGCAGAATTAAATGGAAGGAATTAATTCTGTGTTAGCTAACACGGAATTAAAGGGGAGGGAATTAATTCTGTGTTACCTAACGTAGAATTAAATGGAAGGAATTAATTCTGTGTTAGCTAACACGGAATTAAAGGGGAGGGAATTAATTCTGTGTTAGTTAAAACGGAATTAAAGGGGAGGGAATTAATTCTGTGTTACCTAACGCAGAATTAAATGGGGGGAATTAATTCTGTGTTACCTAACTCGGAATTAAATATTAAAAATAAATTTTGTGTAATTGTCCCTTCTACGCCTTCGTACAAATAACATTTTCCTATACCACAGGTTTCTTTGTGGTATCAATGATCTTGGGCCAGACATTCTTGTTTTGGCGCGGCGTCGCTAGGTGGCGCCCGTCACTGTTAAATTTCTCTCGCTTGTGCTAGGGTAAAACTTTTGCTTATAATATGGGGTGGTATGAATTTTCGTTATCGCTTCTCGGCCTATGGCTAAGATCAAAGTGTAGTATCTGTTCTTATCAGCTTAATATCTGATACGCACCGCATGCGGTGCCAGTATATTAAACTGATTTTTGGAAATTGACGGGAGTTAGGGGCTTGCTCCACTCCCGTCGCGGGTTGGCCCGGTATTGCAGTACCGCCGGGATCGGCCCATATTTATGTAATTAAACAAAAAGTTTATCGATTCTTTGTTTTCGTTGAATTTAGTTTTGTAGAAAATGGATATTTTGTTCCCATAAATGTTAGGGAGAATACAATACTGACGTTATTTGCGTGTATTTTGTTCGAATTTTTTTATTATGATTGATGGTTAAATAAAATATTCAATCTTTTGAACGAAGTTCGCGAACAAACGGCAAAGTTGAGTTCATTACTTCATTTGGCAAAATTAACCGGATTTTAAACGTAATTTTCATAAAGAATATTAATATGAATTCATAATCAGTTTTAACAAATTTTTAGTTTAGTCTGATAACACTGTGCGACAAATTTTGACCTTACAATTTGAACTGGGATGAAATGTGGAAAAATCGAATCTATGCAACCCCCAAAACTAATCTTTAAAGGGGTTTTGCTAGTTTAGCTCGAATAATGGAGATATACAGGGTGTTTCTTTTAACTTGAGACAGCTCAATATCTCGAGAAATACGCATTTCACGAAAAAATGTCTTAAATAAAAGGTTAATGTGACTAAAGGGGACATTATTTGGTGCTACCGCTAGCCACCCCCTACCCCTCCTTAAGGGTGAAACGGGGGGTAACTTTGGAAAGTCAAATGGAATGACCCGATTTTTTTCACATAGTTTGGTAGTACATAAAAAAATAAATAACTTTTATTTAAAACTTTTTTCAATTTATCAACAGATGGCGCTGTAATTCAAAATTTGAGCTGTCTCAAGTTAAAAGAAACACCCTGTATATCTCCATTATTCGAGCTAAACTGGTAAAACCCCTTAAAGGATTTGTTTTGGGGTTTGCCTAGATTCGATTTTTTCAGATTTGATCCCAGTTCATTTTTTGTGTTGCACAGTGTAATGTGCAAACGATGTAATAATCTAAGTCATATTTGAAGGGTTAAGAAGCAAAAAAGAGAAGTGGAGTTATTTAATAACTCTTAAAGTTTTTTCTATATACAAATTTGAATACTGTTTTTTGCATTAATTAACATGCAGAACTCATACAATTTTCACGTTAAATCCCAATTTAGAGTATGTACCCAATTCTGCACTAAACGCACTTTTGCTTCTTACCCCTTCATTTTTTGTTATTAAGCGTCCAATTAGTGCATTTTGATGCCACGAGTCAAACCCATCGCGCATGCTTGTCATGCATCTCACCGCTGTGAACGACTGTTCGGGTAATATAAGGGAGAGGCTGAGCTGGCAAAAGCATACTTACCTGGCGTAGAGGTCAACCTTGATCAATAAGGCGGTTCCTCCGAGGCGAGGCCTGTCCATTGCACTACGGTCGGGCTGACCCTTGCGATTATCCCTAATGCGGATAACTCGGGCGCATAATTTTTGGTAGTCGGTGTTAAGCAATAAAAAATAATTACTTGAGGGCCTCAAGTTGAGGCTAGTGGTATTGTCATAATCTGTAGACATCTTTTGGGAAATCCGTAGTACAACAACATTATCTGAATAAACAAGATTCTGTTGTATTTAGCGCAAATAAATCAATATTGTCCCTAAAATAGGCAACCCAGTGTGCGTCTATATTATCTGAAATTTATGGGAACAAAATAGGCAACCAGACCACGTAGATTCGACAAACCGATCATATTTAAATCAGTGAACTAGTAGGTATTTTGTACTGTATGCGTTCTTATGTTAAAACAAACACACCGACAAATAAGAATCGTAGTAACTTCGATTTTTGGCAAAAATTATTTATTTCCCCATATGAAAGTATAATTTTTTTTATATCTTATTTTAGGAAATCAACTGTAAAAGTATAAAAGGAGATAAGTTTTAATTTTATTTAAGAAAAAAAGTAATTGTACAGGTTTTTAATTTTTTAATAAACTGTTACCCCAGTTACAAGTGGTTTCAATTAAAGTACTAATAAATTTATATGTACAATAGATACATGTTTACTTTATAATTATTAATAA